ATTCGCACCATCTGGATCACGGTCAGAATAGTGAGCAGTATGAACCAGGGCGTCAGCATCTGGTCTTTGGCAGACTTGTTGTGCAGTGCACCCCAGACACCGGAGTTTTCCAATCTCTGCTCAGCCTTCTCTTCCCGGATCTTACGAGCCGCCTCATTTCCGATCAGCTCGTCAAGTCTGCTCTGTCTCTCCTTACGACGCGAGCTACGGGCCTTCCTTCGCTTCCAGATCTCGTTATCGGGTAGCTCATCATCTGAAGAATGAACGTCTCGCATAGCGTCTTCAGCTCTCTGAAGCTTCATTTCTAACTGTGCCTCAGTCTTGTAGTTCTCGGTCGGTAAGAAGGTAAGCTGCGCGATGGCGATGGCTGCTGGAACGATAAGATAGACCAGGAAGAAAGTTTGTGGCTTGAACTCCCTGTCGCTAGCATCGTACATGAGCCTGTAGAAGAGAAAGACTGCTGCTGAAGCGTCGAATGCACCCGTAACGAGCGCAACGATGCTACCCGCATACTTGGGGAAGGCGTTAGCAATCTGGAAAGAGGGCAGGAAGACAAATGTGCCTCCAAGGGCAAGGAAGAAGTTTCCGATTGTATATCCGTCAAAATGCTCGATCTGAAACGCGAGACTCATTAGGATACTTCCAAGCGCGAGACAGAAAGAACCGGAAAGGAAGCAAAGCTTGGGCCCATAGCGATCGAGCAGGGTACCGACGGGGAGAGCAGAAACATTCGCCGTAGTCGATGCCAAAGAAAAAAAGAAGTTCAACCTGAGATCTTGCTCGAAGCAAACTTCAACGTCGGCATCCACCTCTTCGGGTGTGCACAGATTGCTGAAAACGCCTTCCTTGATAAGAATTGGCTTCAAAGCTGCAAAACCGAAAACAATGCCGCTAGCGAACCAACACGCAAGAACCGTTACGATAACCTGTGCTGTAATCGCGTGTTAGTGGTCAGAACGCGAATGCGATGCATCCAAACTTACCGATACGCTTGCCCGTCGGCACCTTGTATGGCGTCAAGCCTCCTGGTTCCTCGCCCGGTGCGAGCTCCTCGGGTTTGGGTATTATGTCGTAACTGATAACTCTCCTCACGCTCTTTCCTTGTGCGCTCAAGAAGCCAGCTCCCGAGATGGCGCTCTCAAGAGAAAGCCGACGTTCCGCAGCATCCTGTCGGCTAATCTGGCGGTCGACAGGCGGTAAGAACAAATCTACCAACGCCTCCTCGCGATCAGTGCCCTCTTGCTGTGTAACATGCTGAATCAGCGACATGGGAAGTCTGCAGCGAGGCGCTCGTCGTTAGAAACGCAGGGCAGAGTAGACGTCTGAAGAAAAGAATCAAAGGGGCTGTGAGTGTTCGGCTCGTCGAGGGCGAGAGAAGCTAGAAAAGCGGAGGAGCGGAGTTAAATTGATGCGCGTGCCCTGACACGAGACCCACGATCTAGACATAGCGATCGCGGGGGTCACTTGTCACATGCAACAAATTCCGGCATCACGGAGCCGTTGGCTATGTTGTGTAGACGTCAATAGACGCTCCTGCAACCATGAGAATCGAGTATACACTGTCGGCGGGTACGCTGCATGCTCGCTTACTAGAGAAACGCCGCGAAACGTCTAAAATGGTCGGCCTTGTCGCGATTGATTGGTTCCGCGCTGGTCCCAAAGCGGAAGGTTCATCGCCGATCTCCCCAACCATCTTCCCGCAGGTTCCATGAGTTGCAACCCTTGGATTGCGGCGCACAGGGTCTTGATAAGAGAAAAGCAAGCAGTATGAGGCTTGATAAGGTCCACACCGCCAGTTTGTCAGGCGCAGTATTCAATTCTTCAGAAAGGCGATACACACTCAGGGTGTTCGCAGTCCTCCCCGTCGCATTCTACACAAAATGCCGCCTATCTAATCTTTGTGGTATACGTTCGCATCGAAGTTTGTAGGAAATTGGTCCCGTCCTTCAGCATCGCTTCGCACCCAGACTGCAACACTGGTGCCTGGGCAGTTGAACAGTCCATAACCTTCGCTGTCTATCTCGACCTCACTCTCCTCCCACCCAAGGATGTCAGTCCACTTCTCACCGGCATGCATCTCGCCAACAGCCATCTTGATCTGACCCGGTCCGGCGTTGCTCATTACACACGCCAGACCCGCTTTCTTGTCCCATGTTCCACGACGCACAAACCCGATGCAGTTGGCTTCGTTGAAGTAGTCCTCCTGTGTTCCGTACGCGAAGAGTTTTCGTGCGAGAATGAGGTCAGCGAGCTTTCCACCACATGAAGCAGGCGTCTCATGCGGCTCTGAGAGACCGTAAAGATCGCCGTAGAATGGGCATGGGTAACCTTCCTGCCTCAGCAGAATGAGAGCGTAAGCAAGAGGCTTGAAGAAGCCCTCGATCTTCGTCTCCATCACCTGCCCAGGTTGTGTGTCGTGGTTTGTAACGACTGTAACAGCATCGGTAGGACGCATTTGAACGAGTGTGTTATCGTAGACCTTCCTCAGGTCCGCCGATTCGCTTGTCGAGATGGACCCGAAGTTGTTCAGGAGAGGCGAGTCGTAGAGAGCGAACTCGTGGTTCATATCGTCGAGCCAATCGCTCATCTCTTTTACATCTCCCGACCAGAACTCGCCGACCACGAAGATGTCGTCTCCACACTGTTTGCGCAAGTTCTTGATCCATTCATTGGTAAATCTTGAGGAGAAATGCTGCACAGCGTCGAGCCGGAAGCCCTTCAAGCCAAGCTCTTTAGTGATCCACACGCCCCAGTTCTTGACGTCTTCTTGAACCTCAGGGTGCGAGTAGTCAATGTCGGCGAACATCATGTAGTCCGCGTTGCCTTGCTCATCGTCCACGGATTGCGACCAGCCTTTGTTGTCACCTAGGATTTTATAGATGGCTTTCTTCTCGGTGGCTTGGTCCCAGTCGGTTCCTGAGAAATGCTCCCAGTGGTATTTCATCTTGGAGTACTGCTCGCCACGACCCGGAAAATCGAAGCCTAGCCATCCCTCGATTTCAAAGGCATCAGAAACCTCCTTAGTGCGATCATTTTCGTCAACTTCAACAACACGGCACTTCTCCGTCTGGTCGGCTCCAGCCTTGTGGTTCAATACGGCATCCCAGTATAGGCCCACGCTATGCTCCTTGGCGACCTTCGTAAGTTCGAGTAGCTCTTCTTTGGTTCCCCATTTGGTTCCCTTTTGACCCTTCTGCTCAAATTCGCCGAGGTCGTACAGGTCGTAGATGTCGTAGCCAACGCCCTGAGGGTTGGCACCTTTACAGCCAGGGGGTAGCCATATGTTGGTAATACCGATGGCTTTTAGCTTAGGAAGCTCCTCGGCAAGGCGCCGCCAGTGCTTGTGATCATCCGGGACGTTCCATTCGAAACCCTGGAATAGGGTTTCATTCTCTGGTGTCGGCTTCTGTTCTACAACGTTGTTAGATTTGAATTGCGGAAAGGGACACCATCAACACACACCTTCAGAGCTCATTGTGAGTATCAAGATATATGTCCTAAATCACAGAGAGTTGCTTCCAAATGGTTGTGGGTAGCAGAGGAATTTGGTTGAGCAAGCAGAGTCTTCGCCAGTGCCATGGTCAGATTTAAGGAAAACATTATCGCTGATAGCGCGTGAATAATCCTGCGTTGGTAGGGGCTGAGCAGGTTTGTCTATCATGTACCCTGCGTTTGCGCTGGCTACCAAGCGTCCAAGTAAGGCGCACGGGTGGTGAATGGGGCCTGGAAGCGGCGCTGTTCAACAATCTGCGCGGATGACGTCAGCGTTCAGCTTCCATCCCGCGGGACTCCAGGGCTTCAATGGGGCGAAGACACGTCGCCAGAGTGTGAACGAAGGACGACGACAATCGCGGTACCATTAGCGTGACACCACCCGCGGCTACCCAGGTAGTATGTAGTGTCTCTAGGTTGCATGCGGACATTTGCGGAATGATCGTCGCTGTTGCGACAGCCGCGGCGGAATCTACACAGGTCTCTGCAGCCTACATCAGGGTTGAATTGGTAGACAAGTTAATCCAATAATAACGTGACCTTCAGAGTTCCCAATTCGTGCACCATGTTCTTTCACCAAGTTGTAGCAGTCATACCTTTCCAGGCTGGCGGGGAAGGGAAAGCCCTGAAGGCGCGGTGGTAGCTAGTCCGGTTCAGGGAAGGCGCACTCTACCTAGGTACAATGTGTGCCATAAGGGTGTAGGGGGGGTTTCGGCAATGGTTTCCCAACGATTTTGACTCAATATGCTTGGCAAAGGCTCGTGCCCCTGACATGGTCGGCTTAGCCGACATTGGCACAGATGTGGCATTGTATGTGGAAATGGTGCTGTGTGTAGCTGTTGTTATATATCACAATATCTTCGTTGCAATCGCTTTGCGCAGCTGATAATGGGAGGGGAAAGCGCTTTGTATGAAGATGCTGCGGTGATGATTCGTGTTGTGAGAATGATTTGGGGACGATTTTCAGACTATTGTCAGCTGAACATCATTGTGAAGAACGCTATTTGTACACAACCACGGTTTCTTAAACACATACGTGGCGCACAAGATGTTGGAAGTACAAGTGATTATGTTGCAAAGATTATGGCGACATCATGTGAAGATTATTTGCTCCGAAAGCCGTGTGCGCAATGACGATGCATTGGCAGAACCTGACCAGCGCACATCCAGGTATGCAGGTGACAGCCGCCGATCTCACGACATACCAAAAGCAGTACCGCAACAGCAAGGAGATGTTCAATTAAGCAGGAATTATCATAATATTAATAAAGCAGAAGTCAAAGAGGTTGTGTGTGTGCTGAATTTATCAGCTATTTGTTATCTAGTTATATGTCTTCATATACATGCCACCAGGCCATCCATTACTTCCATCTCTCGTATCCTGCCAAGTAAACCTTGGTGAAATTCCGACTCTGCTAGGGGTATCAAAAGGGTATCTAGAATCTATCATGAAGTCGTAAGCGGCGTGCTAAATTATAACAGAAATAAAGATCATGAAATGAACATCACTACTGCTCCGGTTGAGCCTCTCCACCCTCTTCATCTCCCTTCTCCTCGTCATCGTCGCCGGTATCAGTGTCGCTTGAATCTGACGACTCTCTGCTAGAAATAGAAATGGCCTTACCATTAGATCCTGTCTCATCATCCTCATCCTCATCCTCAGCAGCACCAACCCTTTTCAGGTTGAACAGCTTCTCTATCGACTTGTGTGCTTGCGCCGCTTGATCATCATCATTCTCATATCCTGGAGCTCGCTGAGATCGATACGTGTCTTGAGCATCTCGACCCATGGCTTCAAGGCGGGGATCAAGCAACGTCGAAGTCGACTTCTCCTCTGGCTGTCTCTTCCTCTTCTTGGTCTTCTTGGTCTTGCTGCTTGATGGCGCTATGAAGAACGTATCATCATCCTCAGGAAGAGGGACAAGCTGAGCAGCAGAACCGGAGCGCTTCTTGGAGTCCTCATTCACTGGTACGAGGAGAAACTCGCTCAGCGCTGGCTCAGACTCAAACTGCTTGATCTTCCCAAGCCGCTCCCATAGCGCCACATAGCCCTTATCATCATAGCGTCGATTGGTGTGGAGGCCGGCGTCGTAGTCGAGGTGCATCTTGGTGGACGAGGCGAGATTGACGAAGATGGCTAACATCAAGTTAGCAAGAATTCCATAAAAGCTGACATGTGTACTTACTTCTGCAATAGCGCCTGGCTTCTCTGGTAGAGCCTGAAACATCTACAGTGCGCGCAAAGTAGAAGACAGATTTGAAATTTGCTACGTTGTATGCCTTGTCGAAATATTTGTTGAGGGTGACAACATCGGTAATGTCGGTGAGGAGCGGCTCCTGTTCAATGCGCTTCTTGACATAGCCCTTCCAAATTGTTAGCGAAAGCTCATTAGAAGAATACCAATTTACATACCTTCATGTTCTTGCGTGTGTCAAATCCCCATTGTGAGCATAATCCCTTGGTACGCCTTTTTGCGTACGTCAAGATCTCATGGTTCAATCCAATCCCATCAAGACCGCCAAAGTGATGCCTGATCGCCTTGAGGCAGGTCTCAGGAGAGATTGTTCGAAGGTATAGCAGGCGGTGTCCATAGCGCATACTCAATATGCGTGCATCAGTCGAGTATCCTTCTTGCTCAGCATCGCGATGCTTGTATGCGCGCTTCTTCTTCTTCTTGGGGCCGGCTTCATCGTCGTCTGAGCCGTGGTCGCTCTCGAGATCGAGGGCCTCACGATCCTATGATTTGTTAGTATGATAAAGAAGTAAACCATCCAAGGACTTACAATCTCTTCCGCTCGCAGATCCTCTAAGTTGAACCTTGTCTCAGCAACCTCAGGATCTACAGGCGTTGGTGACTCATGTTGCTGGATGAATAGGGAGTCGTTTGGTAGAGTGGGAGTCGGTTTACTCTTGCGCGACGTGGTGCTGGGCGTAGGTTGCTGCGAGGGTGAAGGTTTGGGAGTTGTAGCTGGTAGTGTCTGCGATTGAGCTTTTGATTTGTGTGAGTCGCTTTTCGATTTTCGCTTTTTTGGCTTGGGCGTACTTGTTGATTGGCTTGCAGGATTTGGTTTTGCGCTGTCGTCACCGCGCGGCATAGCAGGGACGTCGCGTGAAGTGAGAGTGGAGTACAGAATTGATAATAGACACACCAGCAATCATCAACAATTGAATTGTTGAAGGCTGAAAAAAGAATTGAAGAAGCGCAGAGAAGAAAGGCGGTACAGGCGAGCGGCGTTGAAGTGTGGGTGAGGTTGAGATGGGTAGGAGGTTGGGTTGCGGAGTTGACGGAGGTGCTTGAGCTTGGACCATCACTTGGCTTGGCAGCCCCACTTCCCCTTCACAAATCCCTCCCCGCATTCACATCGTACATACGACCTTCTCCCCTCAATACCCACCCACTCAGATATTTACAACAGCACCCGATGCGCGCGCAGCATCCGCTCCCATCTTGAGATTCCGAGAAGCCTCATCTCGTAGCTACCTGCACCTCTGGAACCTCTGCGGTTTGCGCGGGCGCTCGCGTCGCAATCCCAAGTCCATCGCCGCACTTTTACATCCAGGTACGTCGCACAGCTCTTTCGAGCATATGCACATTCCAGATCGGTCACTCCTCTCCTTCTCGGTATCGCATTTCGTCAATGGCACGCGACGCCATTTTGCGACAGCTTTTTCTGGCCCTGTTCGCCTTGGAACTCTTTTCCGGTCCTGTACGCACACACAAAACCACACCCAAACGCTTCCATTCACACCTGCAACGCCCTCCTCGCGCACAGGATTTCGCACGGATATGATCACAATCGTATTGCGAGGCGGCTTCAATACGTTGTATTGTGGTCGTATCGCGATCCGATTTCTGGTTTGCCGACTACAAGCATCCTGTTCATTGTCTTCCAGGATAGCGACCCAACCACAACCAACATGTCTACTATGGCAACATCTTCCTTCACTGTCACATACCGGATCTCGCATACTATTTCCTCATATTAGATATGTCAAATATGCGCTGGCGATGGCTGACCAGACCAGATAGAAGCTCCATTACCACAGCGGCAGACATCCTCAGACACCGACCCCCATCCACAACCCCAGCGACGTGAGATCCTGTCAAGTCAGCATCCTCTCCATACCTCCAGCTGTCTGGATCTATACCTCCACTAGATCTGAGACCCTCAGATCCTGCTCTGGGATTTTGAGGTTTCACTTTTTGACCGGTAAGCCTTCTGAGGTTTGGGGACTTCATTCCTTCCACCCTATTTGGATTCCTTAGGACTGGTTATAGATTCCTATCTCATACCATCGTTACATCGCTGCCCTATTTGCCTGGCTTCTGAGGGTTGTTTCTGTTTACAGGAACTCGATTCTCGATAATTTGACATATTTGGGATTATTTTTATCTTATTTTTGACCCTTTGCTAATTCAACATTTCCAGATATGCGACTCGATAATGCCTTTCCTACCAAAATATCTCCGCCGAGGAGATTCCAGCCAGCAGCGTGGCAGACCTGAACCGCGAACATCGAGACCCGGGCGACCTTCCACCGAGCGAACATCAGACGAACACAAGAGCAAAAAGCGACGACGCGTAGGCAGTCCAAGTCCTGTTCGGGAGGCTACACCTGTTACGCAGACTTCAGACGATTTGCCAGAGATCGGTGGCATAGAAGACTGGGTAGAAGATGCCATTACACATGAGGGTGGCGAAGAGGCGCCTCCTATCGAGCCTCAGAACGCGACGGCACTTTTGGACAAAGCAATTATCGATGCCATATCTAGCGATCAGCCGGCTGTGGACGAATTGGACCTTACGGAGCCCGCTCCCAATGCCGTGGATGTCAATGCGCTCTTCCAGGAGATGATGGCGGATCCGTTACAACTCTACCCCGGCAACGCTTCAGCCGAGCCAGCCAATCTTCCAGACGCATCGCTCATGATGAGTATGGCGCAGGCAGCCATGAACGTTGATGAGGTTGAATTCATGGGTGTCGGAGAAGAGGAGACAAGAGCAGATTTCGCTGCAACACCAGCCAGCGATTCTACGATGGCCCCGCCGCAACTCGGCCAGGCGACCGCGATGCATGATCCTAGCGAACCTGTGCCCCATGTACAGCGAGACTTCACAATGTCACCCTTCATGACAGCCTTCTCCGCCTTATGTGACCACAACAATATGTCTCGGTCAATGTATGAGGAGCTTCGCAGTGTACTCATGCTACTCGACCCTCTCCCAGCAGAGATCAAGGCTCTTCCGAAACGAGTGGAGACTCTGAAGGAGTCGCTGCGATCACAACTACCGGCCGTGCCTATGCGGTCTCGTATCCTCGAACTCGATCGCTCTCAACTGCCGACCCGGGCCACACACACCGAGAAGATGCTCCTGTTCGACATGAAGGAGCTGTTCAAGTGTATGCTGCAATCCAAGTCTATGCGCAGCTCAGATCGCATGTTCGTCGGTATGGGCCAGTTCGTCGACAACCCTACGGAATTGTGGCACTCTCCATGTTGGCTAGGATCTGTCCGCACTACAAGCGGTCAATATGCCCATCTCAAGGACGGCAGCCCTATTTTCCCATCTGATTATATTTGGTGGTCTACAGACAGGGACAGTTCGCAACATCTCGCCCGCGTTCGTTTAGTTGGGGTTGACAAGACGTCAACCGCGAAAAAGCGAAAAACACTTGGCAAAATCATCATCCAGGCGTCGCGAGTGTGCACGTTCGAAGAACTTGGGCCAGATCTCCAACGCTTTGTCCACGATGACGATGCTCCAGCTATAGAAGATTACCAGACCGAGTTCTTCTATATAGAGGGCGATTCTGGCCTCGTGCTGACTGAAGACAATGTTCGTTCCGTCGAACAGTCTGTACACATGGACTATGGCTACGGTTTCAAATCTCCGCTTCCTGAGACGTTGTCGTATATCCGTCGCGATGAGAAAATCGTCATACGTCGCGTCATCAACCCAACGAAGGGCATTCGCGCCTTATCTCTGTTCCCACCCCACCGAGCAGAACTAGAGCTGCAGAAGGAAGGCCGCTCACATTTTGTAGAGAAATTCGACAAGAACAAGGATGAAGTCGTCTCACTCCCGATGCTTTGTTTCATCGACGCCTTCGGGCTTTACAAGAACATGTATCGCTCTATAAAAGGAGTGTACCTGATCATGAGCTTCTTGGATGAAGTAGAACGCAGTCGCAAGACCAATGTCGTCCCACTTACCCTTGGTCCGTACGCCTCTAATTGGGAGGACGTGGTTGACTCGCTTATGCATATGCGCGATCTCGACCGCGGTACCACAATCACACTCCAATTCGGCACCAAGCAACACATGAGGATGGTCGACGTCTTCGTATGTGCTCCAATCCTGGCGTATACAGGGGATATGTTGCAGCAGAATGAGAACTCCGGATGCAAAGGCCCCACTGGAACGTATGGCTGCCGACGCTGCTATGTACCAACCGAGATGAAGGGCGATTTGGACTATGACACCACCACCAATGGCCGCTATTATCATAGCACACTGCGCATACGCGAACAGGCGAAAAGCCTCACCCAGAACGCGAGGAATAAGCTGTTCAAGGACGTCGGCTTTTCTAGCAGCGAGAGCGCCATCTACCGGATATCCCCATCGCTTGATCCTCTCCGCTCTACGCCTGGCGATGCTGCGCACTCTGAGTTCAAGGGCTTGAGTGCTAACATGCAGACTTTGTTGTTCCACGGTATACTTATAAAGCGCTTCCAGTCGGTTTTCACCGAGCTTCTCCAGGACATTGGCGCCCCGCCAGGCTGGCCGCAGATCCCCTCACCCGAATTTCACGTTGGTTCGTACAACATGCAGGAACACGGACGAGCGTCAATTATATTCCCAGTTCTCTTGAGGATCTGGCTTGAGGATAGCTTTGTGGAACCTAATTACCTAAAAGCAATCAAAGAGCTCGTGGGTACGCGACTTTCAAGACCGATTACTGGAGTTGAAGCAATCGTTCATTGCTTCGCCGCCTTCGCTCGCTCAAATTCCATACTTGTCTCCCCTGCCATGAAGCGCAAGGATAAAGAAGCTCTTCACGGCGTGCTGATAGATGGTCGGCGGGCGTACCAAGATCTCATGCGCGCAGCAGCAAATGCATCAATGAGTAAGAGGGATGCAAGATTCGGAAGTCCAGCACCGGGAGGTCCTGGATCTAAACGTAAGGCGAAGTCTTCCACTACACAGGCAGCAAGGAGATCGTCGCTGCGCCAGACCACGCTTGCTTCGAATGTCGAAGCATCCCGCCCATCACAATCGCCTGCGCCATCTCCAATCGCATCCCGTGAAGCATCGCCGGTTCTATCTGAGATCGTTGCTCCATCTGACGGAGTTTCTGTTGCTGCTGCCAGCGATGATCAGCGAGCTCTCATACAAGCTGCCGGTCCCACGCGTCAAGAGCGAGATGCAATGGCTATGCAGAGGACGATTACAACTTACATGAACTCGATCGCTCTGCCCAATGTCCACACCGGTTTACACTTCTTTGATTGGGTCGCAGAATATGGGAGCGCTCGGAATGTGCTGACGTTCCTTGGAGAGTACAAACATTCGTAAGTCAATAATACCTCGCTCTCCTCTGTCATGGTCTACTGTACTAACAGAAAACTCTCATAGCGATTTCAAGACGTACATTACCAAAACGAACCACCACAATGCCTCAGCCACGCTTATGCAACACGAACAGCGATTGATCACGATGCAATTCCTGTTGTCTGGTGCATTCGAATCGACCGATCCAGATCTCACCAAGACGCTCCGCATCATCAACGAAAAATGCCCCAAACTCTTCGCACACCTCGGAGCGGTACAACAGGCGGGTCACAATTTGGATGAGGATGTTCAAGCATCGCTTGGTATAGAAGCGGATGACGGTCACCAAACACCACTTGTGTTCAAGCGCGTCGGAACCAAGGTGGTCAAGGACCGGGAGGATAATTTGTTGCATATCCACCGCCCGCAGGATATGCACATGACGCATCCCTTCATCAACCTCTTGGTGAAGGCGTACTCAAAAGATTACAATATCAAGAACCTCACAGAGCTTGGGAAGGGCAGCTTACAATACTGCGAGCAGTTCTCGTTCCTGCCTCGGTATGTACAAGATCACCTGCAGCATTCATCTCTCTACCATTAAATAACCAACCTGCTTACTATATTACAGGAAGGCAAAGCGGCGGGTTCAGTTCAAGGTCAACAACTTTATTCGCGTACGCGACACACGTATCGCGCGCATCGACGGAGTCTGCGTTCACGAACTGCATTCTGTCCAAAGGCTTTTCGCTATCGTCACTTTAGTCAAAGGGGAGTTTCCAGACATGGGTGTTCTCCAGGCTGCTGAAACTGAGCCGATCGACCCTCTCTTACAGCTACCCATTTTGAAGATGGGTAAGAAGCGCACCATCGTCGGACTTCCCAACATTCACAAAGATCGCATGTGGATTGTTCCCAACGTCAAGGATAACAACATGCTTTACGTACCTTGGGATATCTACTTTATGTAAGGAAGGGAGGGTCAGCCTTCTCGCGGATGGTGGTTACGTGAGGCGCACGCTGTGTTAGGTTCACCCTTGGAGTTGTGGTGAGATTTGGGGATTGTTTACCTTGCGATGATACCCTTTTCATTGGCGTCACGGTAATTACTTTTCTGTTCTTTGCGGCTATGAAGTAATGCTTGCTGCTATACTTTTAATTGTCTTCGCTATCTACAGCGCATGGCGCAGCGGTGAGACGCTGCATAGTGAGAGAGCACACTTCATATACATGAAATTGATACCAACTACAACAGCAACAATTATGAAATCCAAATTAAGTGACTGTAGTAAAATATAAAAAAGAAATAGTAATGTTGCCGCTGATCCGAAGATCGGCGAGGCTGACCGGAGCGGTTGGCTGGTGCAGGAAGGGAAAGGACCACCCCGGGCTGCCTGCCACATGCCAGCCCAAACTTCCGTCTCGTCTCTCACCTCAGCCCCTCTTCTGCATCGTGCACACTTCGCCATCTACCACCAGTCAATGACGAATATACAGACGAAGATGCGTGGCATGCATCATCGTACATTCCTCACTTCAGCATCCACTCCCCAGGACGGCACATATGACCCAGGCAGAACAAGAGGGCAACTGCCCATACCAAACATTCACCATTGTCGAACAACTCTTTGGCCAGTATGCAGCTTCGGGATCAGCGCTTCATATCCATCTATTTCCTAGTTTGAATAACAGCTCTCCATCACATCGCGTTGCGCTGAAACGGTAGCTGAATCAGGAAGTTTTGTCAAACAATCGCGACACCAATGCCATATTGCATGGCGATAAAGGCACGATATTCTCATACTGACATCGATATAGCACTGAATCGCGACATCTGAAACCCCTACCAAACCCTGGCGACACCAACAATTGCGCGTCCACCAGCAGCCAAGATGGCGCAACACCCGCTCGGTCGAGAACAACAACATCATAAACGCGATACGATCAAGAGAACAACGATACATATATTCGGAAAAAGGGCGACCTTACAGCAAACGGCGACTCCGCGCACATGCGCAGGCGGCGACACCAGAAGAAGACGTATGCCAAAAGCGGGGTCGAAGCCGGCGGACGCCCATGGAACAAACATATAAGCTGGCGGCGACAATACGTTATTATCGCAATAATAGGATCGAAATGTTGGGTGGGTGGCGACAATGTCACTTTTGACTTGTACGTTTGAGCTGCCGAATTGGTAGAGAAAGCGGAATATGAGCTCGGAACAGGTGGCCGAAACGGCTAAGTCCACGTCGCAGGTGAGGGTGAGTGAGGGATTTATTTCGCCAAGTCCGCGTTCACCGGGCGGTGAAAAGTCAAAAACATGTCGAGGTGACGGCGGTTTTGAGTGTCCAAAATGCTGATGAAATGTCAGTCTCGACCAGAGCGGTAGACAGCAGATGACATCCTCAGACAGCGACCCCCAAAGAGATAGCCAGGACCGTTAGATCCTGTGGGATCACTATCATCGCTATACCCTGGCCAGTCTAGGTCCTCACCCTTACAGGATTAGGATCCCTAACTCACCGCTCTGGGCACTTAATAGGTGACTAGGGATTTTGGTGGTGAGTGGTGATTCCATTCCTTCCTCTGGGAGCGTCTTCCAAGTTTCCTGGACCTCTTCCTAATCCATTCCAGATCCTAACCTCAGATCAGGTGGCATTCCTCATCCATACCATCGAAACATCCGGTTCCTTCCACCTGGCTTGATGATGTTTTTCGCTACTCTCTTCTTGATATTGCTTCAGCCAGTATTTTTTCAGGCTTATTTGAGCATTTGTACTTTGTTACACTTATGGATGTGCAAATTCTAACATTTTGCGACAGTGCCTTCGGCGGTAATCACCTAATGTTCATACATGCGGCGTGGACATAGCCATTTCGACTGCTCGCTCGTCCGCACCTGCGACGCCGACATAGCCGTTTCGAGTCATGGATTCCAGCCGCACATCGCTTGGACTTGGCCAAAATCTCCTTGTTCCCTCCCACCTATGGCATGGACTTGGCCGTTTCGACCGCTTGGACTTGGCCAAAATCTTCTTGATCATCCCCACCTGTGGCATGGACTTGGCCGTTTCGACCGCTTGGACTCCAGGTTTGCACTGTGATCTTCGCCGAATGTTTCCTTGTTCAAGCCCACTCGCAGCATGGACTTGGCCGTTTCAACCGCTTGGACTCGGATGGGCAGCGCGTGGACATGGCCGTTTCAGCTCCTGCCCGGATGTACCGACCCTCACCTGCGACGTGGACTTAGCCGTTTCGGCCGCTTGTATTCCTGGCGCAACGCGTGTGGACTTAGTCGTTTCGGCCGCCTGTTTTCTTGTATCGCAGCGCGTGCACTCAGCCGGTCTGGGACTTGCATCCCAGCTACGGACCATGCGCATAGCCGATTCAGGTCTTGTAGCCTTCTATAAGGTGCTGTTCCTCTGCGTGCGGCCGTGACCTGGGATAGCGGAACGGTGGCGAGACGACTTGTACATTCCAGGTGATGGCTTCCTTGTGCAAGGAGGCGTTCGAAGTTCAGCCAGGGCAGAGAGCGCGGAGGGCGAGCTTGTTCGACGATCTGGTTCTTTGGTCAGTCTCCTATCACAAGATTGCATGTGTGTATTGAGCGGATGGAATGAGCGCTGACTATGTTGTTACCAGTGTCGATGGGCGAATATCGTGGCTAGGGCGCACGCTGCCAGCCATCATCTTCGCCAGGATAGCTTTGACAGCATACAACTGCGACGATCAGCCATTCGTTGCTCGATTCCCCCAAGCACCAAGTCCACAGACGCAAGGCCAGTCCGACAGCAGGCGACAAGATAGGCTCGAGGATGGAGATGGTCAAAGGAAGCGAAATCATCCACCAGGCCAGCCTGACCAAAATGTCGACGACGATGGCAGCCGTCTTCGCCGAGGGACTCTTCCACACTGGTAAGGTAGGACGCGTCTTATTCCCACCAAGTCAAAGCTAACCAGACATAGCAAGCCGAGACGTAATGTGACTTCGCGATTAGCGTGTCGAAGATGGTAGCTTCGGAGTTAGTCCTGCCCCCTGTCGTATCGTTCGATGCGCACTGGCTGACCAACCGACAGGCTCAGTTTCAATACACATCGCCAGCCTGTGTTATCCGTTCAGCGACGTCGGCGACGGGAATAAGAGATGGACGAGAGGGGGTGTTGCGACGCCTGCACATCTTCGCTACATCGGGCGGAAGCGCTGCAGTCGAGGACGTCATGAAGTTGGCCGAGGATCGAGCGCATCGTTATCAGGGGGGCTGGGCGTGGGGTTGGTTCGCGGAATATCTTTCTGTATTCGATATGGGTCGGAAGGGGTAAATTGCTACGAATGGATGGGGTCAGCCCAGGAAGCGGCACCCGGTGCAGCCAGGATGCACCCGTGAGACCAGAATGGCCCAGCCCCCAAGATTACCTGCATCCCCAGATGAGCTGTGGCTGAAATGATATTTGCCGCAAAATGATTATAGTGTTACTTTAAGGGCAAATGTATGTCACACCAAATCATCTCCATTCAGAATCGTGATTGCAACAACGCTTTTATTTCAACATAATTTGCAAACTGTATGCGCAGCACATGCTTGTATGTGCAAATAGTCTGGTAATCATGGCAAAATCATGGTTGTGTGCACTGGTTTTGGTTGCAGATCATTTTCAAGTCATTTGCAGCTCATTTTCAGACGAAACCATTTTCCACCGAGTGCATCCCCCACCATTTTCCTTCCAACACCCATCGTGAGCAGCTGTCATTTCGCCCCACAGATGATACTATTTCGAATTTGGAGCAACGATTGTCCTGACTAACACTCGTCGGAAAAGCATCAGCCAAGCATTGTCCCACAGCCCCAAAACCCTTATGGTGAGGGTGCAGCCTTACCTGCGTACTTCTGACCTCTCACCCATAATTTATACATTGTTTGCGACATCGATATTCAACTTCTACAGTATCTAACAAGCGCACTAAAATGGTCCTGTCAGACGCCTCAAAAACTGGTCAGGCTGCGACCGCTGGCAAGAGTCAACTTATCATCCGCTTCTACGATCCCGATGTACGCGCCAAGGACGCCCTCGGTCGCCAACTCGATGAGATACTAGCGTGGTCGGACAGCAGACTGGAAGCATCCCATAACTATGTTCAGATGCTCTTTCCGCTACCAGAGGGTTCTCCATACAATAGTGAAGTAAGCTTTCCAATTTACTGTTATCGTGCCCGGGAGGTATTCGCTATAGTTGAAATCAACGCATGTCGAAGCACAGACTCGCATATATCTCCAGGGTATAGCGAGAATGCAACGACACCTTCAATCACGTCGGCAGCATGTTAACCATCTACAGGCCCCAGTCGTCAACCTCGAAGTGATGCAAGCGTTCCGTTCACGGAGTGAGCTAAGACAGAACCTACGACGAAGCTTCGAGCGCATGCTGAGCTTCTACGGTTTCATGGTATCCAACAAGTCTGAAGCGGAGTCGAAGCCAGGCGAAACGTCTGAATCAGCGTCTTTCCCACCAGGCTCCCACACCAATGTCTCTGCATCCAAACCCCTTCCATACCACATCGTCCGCGCGCCAGACTATCGCAAGAAGTTCGCCAACTGGGCCATTAGGTTCGACCATAACCATCTTCGCATTACGCGTATTCTCCGGTGCCTCCGCGTTCTGGGCTTACAGACTGAGTGCACGGCCTTCTTTGATGCGCTCGAAAGCACGTATGAGGACCCACAGGTCAGCATTAGTGATAGGAGTATGGGTTACTGGCGGCTGGCTGTTACGCGTCCGTTATATTTGGCGCCTGACGATTCCAAGTGCAAATGGTTGGTGGGTTGGGAGAAGGAGCAGGAGAACCTGACACAGGTAGAAGAGGAGAAATTGGGAAATGAGCGGGATGAGGTACAGAAGCAGAAGTCAGTCGCGTCTGTTGACGACATCGAGGGTTGAGTTTCTTGCGCTCCATGAGGACGTGGAAGCACGTTAA